CCTGGGACGGGGCTCGGTGGGCTTCGTGGGCTGACACCCCCTCCCTGTCCCATTAGGCTGCCGGCCATACTCCATCCCTCCTTGTGAGCACCACGTCAACGGCTCCCGGCCAGCATGCACGGGGGAGGGAGACACTCCCAAGTGCAGCAAGACCTGCGAACCTGGCTACAGCCCGACCTACAAAGAAGACAAACACTTTGGTGAGGAGGCCGAGGAGGCCGGGGCCACAGGCGGGAAGGGGCTGGGGCTGTGGGAGCCCCAGGGTGGAGAAGGAAGGAGAATGCACACCTGTCTCATCAGAGAGCAGCACCCCTGCCCTCATGTTCTGCTTATTCTACCCTGAACTCTCTGGAGATGGAAGGTATCAAACCCCTCTATTTTCTAGGAAGTGACATGCCCAGGGGTACCCCAGCCTCTGCCAGGGCTTCATGCTCACTGCTCCCCTGCCATTACACCCTCGGGGAAGCCTTCCCTGAGCTCCCCTGGCTGGGCAGGTCCCCTGAGTGCACAGCGCCCCTGGAGGCCCTCGGCCCTGGACAGATAAGTGTCTCGTGAGGCAGAGGCCCTCTCACCCTCTCACCCGCACCTCCGTTCATTTTCCAGGATACACTTCCTATAGTCTCCCCACCAACGAGTGGGAGATCATGGCTGAGATCTACAAAAACGGCCCCGTGGAGGGAGCCTTCTCCGTATACTCGGATTTCCTACTGTACAAGTCAGGTGTGTGCCCATTTCTGACAGCAGCAAGGGTGGAATTTGGAGGGGAAGGGTTCTGAGCTCAGGTACAAAGGTGGTACAGGTGGACCAGCAGGACCTGCCTGGGCAGAAAGTTGAGGAGCTGGGGAGGCTTGCAGGCTTGCCCATACCAGGTACCCAAGACTCCCTGTGACCGCAGCTTAGACTTCTCCGCCTGCCGGGGTCCCTGCTTCCCCGCAGGCAGCTTTCCGAGGCTCCCTGCTAGCTCCTTCTCACCCATCCCTGGCAGCGGGGGCCCTCCTGGGACGTCACCTCCACACCTTCCCCTGCTTTGTCAGTGCATTGATGGTGGCAGGTCTTTTGTGTCTGGACTAAGTGACACATTTTATTCATCTGGACTTTTGCAAAGGCTCATTATCCTGCCTAACACCCAGGGGCCGATGCTGTGGGGACCCAAACCTAGTAAGCCCTGTCCCCAGCGCCTCAGCAGCCCTATCCCAGATGAACTCTGCTGACTGCTACTGCCCCTTTCACCTTCCACTAGATTGAAGACTCCACAACCCCCAACCCTTGTGACACAAGCATTGGACAAAGGCAGATGGTTCTGGCAAGAGACTAATACTGTAAAGATGGTGGTCCTTAGGGCAGCCCCCACCTATAATGGTAAAAGCTGCAGTTCCAGCCAGCAGGGATGACCCTGGGGGACCTGGCTGGGCAGCCTGGGAGCCCTCATCCAGCATGGCTCCAGGATGGCCATTGGCCCTTCCTCCCCTACTTCCACAGTGCACTCTGGAACAGCACATTCACAGCTCCACAAATCACATGACCCTTTTGACAAACCCCTATGTGGAATCCCCAGTATGTAAAAGAGATCCCTGGTCACTTAGTATTAAATTTAGTCCATAAATTAGAATGTATTTATCGGGACTTTTATTTTTAAAAATCACCTAATAAGCACATTTTTTGGACTTCATTTAATTCCCCAATGTCTCATAGGAGCCCCCAGAACCTTCTGATGGGACACCAGGGTTCTAGCACTTCTCTGGAGTAGGACAAGTCCCTTGTGGAACCTGTCTTTCCTGGTTAGGGGTGTCCTGTGGAGTTGGGTGTGTGGGAGGGAGGTGGGGCAGTGGCCCAGCCTCAGTCCTGGATTTCCCCCTCAGGAGTGTACCAGCACCTGACTGGAGACATGATGGGCGGCCACGCCATCCGCATCCTGGGCTGGGGGGAGGAGAACGGCGTCCCCTACTGGCTGGTTGCCAACTCCTGGAACACTGACTGGGGTGATGGTGGTAAGTGGCAACCCCTTCCTGCCAAGAATAGGAACTGGGAGCCACAGCAGTGGCCACCCCAGCCTCCTCTGCTCTCCTGGCCGCAGGCCCTAGGCTGAGGATGGGCTATAACTTCAGCAGGGTAGAGCCTCTGAGCCCCGGAGCAGGTGGTGCCTGCCACAGCTCCCACTGCCTGAGGTGCCTTGTCGGAAAACAGGTGACTCGAGGGTCCACAGCTGCCTCATGGTGTTCAGGGTTGGGCTACTGGGAAATCCTAAGAGCCACCAGGTCTTGGGGACTTACTCCTGTCTTTTAGGGATGAGTCCAAATATATGGACAGGGTTAAAGCCCAGGAATGTTTTTAAAGCACCTTTCTTTTCTTTCCCAGGCTTCTTTAGAATCCTCAGAGGACAGGACCACTGTGGGATTGAATCAGAAGTGGTAGCTGGCATCCCACGCACTGACCAGTACTGGGAAAAGATCTAACCTGCTGCGGGCCTGTCTGGCCAGTCCTCGAAGTCGTTCCCTAAATGTAGCCAACTGGGCTGAGGTGGGGTTAGAAATGTCTTTTACTCCTTGAAGTCACATAAGATACAAGAGGTTTAGAGGGGGCCTGAAGCACTGGACTGAGCCAAACCTTGCATCTGGCATCCAAGCTGTCCTCCCAGGTGATGCACCCCAGTCCAGCTACCTCCCAGCTTGTTCAGTGGGCTGATGGCCATATGCAGATGTCAGACCCCAGAATCCTCTGCTGAGCGCGGTGCATCCCCCCACCCCCCAAGCTAGTGCTGTGATGGTACCTGGGCCCCTCCCACATGTCTGCAGGAAACAAGGCTGGTGCCTGGGAACGAGGAGCCCTAACAGATGCCCCTGTCATGGGTACCTCTGAGCACACAGCTTTCTAGACTGGCTACAGGTTCAGAGAGGTGTGGCAGCCCTTCCACCAAGGGCCCTGCCTCTACTGAGCTTGGCAGTGTCACAAACCTTCTCTGGTCTTGTCCTTGGCATGATTCTTTTTTAATAGAAGTTTTATTTTTTTGTGCACCTAAGCTGATCATGTGAACGAACAAGTCTAATAGTTGGAAGAGCTCTGCCGCTTTGCAGATCACCTCCTAAAGGTGTGGCTTAAAGCAAAACAGTGCTGGAGACTTGCTCTGACCTCCTGGCCTATACGACCACTACCAGAACAGGACTAGCTGGGGAGAAGCCAGTTTCTTCTGTTTTCTAAAAATCACTGCTTCACCCTGTCAATTTAACAAGGAATGTCTGTGCCAATAAAAGTTTTCTCCTTCACCTTGAGTCTGCTCTGGTGAGTCTCAGATCGTTTGTCATGGCTTGTAGGCATCCCTGGAATCATGTTGTCCTTTTAACTCCTGCAGCCTCCTTTTAACTTCTCACTGCCCCAAACTGTGTGCTCAAACCATGGCCCCTGTTGCTCCATGTCCTGCTAGCTACAGACTAGTGGCAGCCTGCGAATTCAGCCCACAGAGCACAGGCATGTATCTTGAGTAATCTCACGTGCCCAAGATGCCATCCCACTGCAGGGCCACATCCGTCTCCCTGGGAACCCCGGTGCTGGCGTGGGCTGTGTATGGTATTCTGAGGGTTGCCTATGCCACTGGTTTACACTGCTGGTCAAGAACATTCCTTTGCCTAGTCTTGGTGGGAATCATAGTGCAGCATCAGCGCCCATCCCACTGGGCCTGTCCAGATGTCCAGATACCTCAGTATCTCTCTTCCCTAGCTGAGCACTGGAGTTGAGATAGCGCTTTCTAAAAGCATTCTAAGTTTAACTTCCAATGACCCAGAACTCAGAAAACTTGAACTTCATCAAATAAACTCTCAACCTGCAGTGAATGTTTTAGGAAAACTTGGTGACACATATTCATCCTAGTGCTTATAAAATGCTTAATGAGGCCAGGCAAGGTGGCTCATAACCTGTGATCCTAGCACTCTGGGAAGCCAAGGTAGTAGGATCACTTGAGCTCAAGAGTTCAAGACCAGCCTGAACAAGAGCGAGGCTCATCGTGGTGGGTGCCTATAGTTGCAGCTACTGAGGAGGCTGAGGCAGGAGGATGGCTTAAGGCTAAGAGTCTGAGGTTGTGAGCTATGATGAGGCCACAGCACTCAAAAGAAAAAAATGCATAACAAGGGTTACCAAAGCCATGAATTCATAATCACTTTATTCTTACAATCTCAATTAGAATACATTCACAACTTAAATCAAGTTATGACATAGCTCTCCCTCTCCCAAACTGAGTTGAAAGACTCTGTTACCATGCTGGTCCCCCCATCACCCGCCCCACGTACCCACCTGCAACTCCATCCCTGTCCCTGGCTGGGCTGCACTACATGAAGTGGCAGAATGAAGCATGGGGCATCTTCATAGCTACATTACGGAGACTGTGAGACCTGCCTTGAAATGTACATAGTTGGGCTGGGTCTCCATACTTCCAATAAACCTCAAACAACCTGTTTGGTGATCATCACTCATCTCCATTCAATTCAGTAGTTAGAGGGCCTTTCCGAGGTGACAGATGGAGGCATCTTTACATAGGGAAATGTAAAGACTAGCAAGGGATAGTTCAAGTTTAGAAGTCTGAACAAAGGTAGGCAGTTCACCTCTCTAACACATGGAGAGCCACACTCAGGAAGTGACTCTGACTAGCATGCTGCCATCACCTGGGAGCTACCACAAATGCAGTGAGGACGTCAGGCCTCTGGACAAGACCCCAGGTACACACGCAAACCTTTGGGCAGTGGTCTTCCAGCTGCTGCCCTGACCAGTCACCTGAGGCCTTGAGAGGAATGCAAGTTCTCAGGCACCACAATTCTGCTGCATCAGAAATGGTCCCAGCAATCAGGCAATTTAATACATGTACCAAAGTTTGAGAACCACAGCCTTAGAGTTGTTTCCAAAACTGCAAAGAATAATCTAGAATGGCCATTAATTAGCAGATGCCTGGCTCCCCTTCTTCCCCACACACTCCCCAAGACCCAGGAATTGGTTCAGCAGGTGGAAGGGGAAGGAAGTTCTCCAGGCACCGGCCAGGGAGGGAAGTGAAGTCTTCACCAGATGTCCAGCTGCCCTGACACGCAGAGAGCAGGCTCCCTCCCACTCCCAGCTGTTTCTGCAGGGGTTTGTTATTCTCAACCCCTACATTCAGGTGGGTCAGATGCTCCTCTGAGGAAAACTTAAAATATACCACATCTAAGTAGGAACCAGACAATATGTCAGGGATGCTGTAAACTAATTACATTAGAGGTGGGCAGTAGACAGTAGGGCTGCAGGTTCAGCAAACAAATACAGGATGCCCAAATACTTGAACTTTGGATAAGTTTTTAATATAAATATATCCCATCCAATATTTGGGGTATAATTCTAAAAAATAGAATTGCTTATCTAAAGTTCAAGTTTAACTGGGTAATCCTGTATTTTACCGGGCAACCTCAGAGGAGATACTCAGAAGGAAAACAGTCTTTCAAAGAGCCTCAGAACGGGATGAAAGCTAAGATCTCTGTACAAGTCAGCGGGAACAGAAAAAATTAGTTTTATAGCTGAAAGAGACCTAAGAGATCACCTACACTCTGAGCTGAGAGAAGCTTCCAGTGTGTCCATCGCAGACCCAGCCTCTTCCCACCAGGTTGTCTTTAAAATCTCCCAAGTTTTTTTTCTCAACCAAGTTTTGATGCTTAAGTTATGATAGCTGTTTGTGCTCCTTATGGCAGGTTACCCGGGCTTCAGCATTGTGAAAAATTTGTCCAGAGCTGAGCCTTCTTGGGTCCACACCAAGCCAATTGTCTCAGAGGTGACAGTGCACAGGAAGAGAATCAGCGCTTTTGTAATGATGCTGATCCAACGATTGTTACCAATGGGATGTAGCAGAAGAGACTAGGTGCTACAGCATTGATGTTCTAGAACACTGAGTTTCAGTCTGGGGCATGTCCTCACCCACGCTCAGTGAGCCTCTCGGTGAAAGGCCACCACACCCCTTGCCGTGCTGGGCAGAGGCACAACTCTGTGGCAGAATCCGGCTAAGGACCATTCAGCTTTCAAACCAATCACCTGGAAGCATCCTTCACCTTTCTTGAGAATTTAGTGAATAAGCTGGTAACTTAAAATAAGAAAAAAAGCCGGGAGGGGGGAAAAGTTCTGAATGTAGCTAAGAGAATCCACCCAAAGCAGAGTGGCTGGCAGGGCAAGAGGAGACAGCCCGCTCGCTCACTGCAGTCCTGTAGAGTCTGCCAGGTGTGCCACTCCCGGGACTGTCCGCACTGGCTTCCTGTGGCTGCAGATGGCCACTCATCTCTCACTCACTCTATTCTTTTTTTTTTTTTTTTGTAGAGAGAGTCTCACTTTATCGCCCTCAGTAGAGTGCTGTGGTGTCACACAGCTCACGGCAACTTCCAACTCCTGAGCTTAAGCGATTCTCTTGCCTCAGCCTCCCGAGTAGCTGAGACTACAGGCGCCTGCCACAACACTTGGCTATTTTTTTGTTGCAGTTTGGCAGGGGCTGGGTTTGAACCTGCCAACCTCAGTATGTGGGGCCAGTGCCCTACCCATTGAGCCACAGGTGCCGCCCCCACTCCATTCTTGACCTCCACCCTTCTCCCGGCCATGTACATTTCCAAGAGAACTGCACCTGGCAAACACACAGGGTAACTCAATTCTTTATCACAAAAAGGTCCTTGGTCGAGCACTGTGGCTCTTGCCTGTAACCCCAGCATCTTAGGAGGCTGAGGCAGGAGGATCTCTAGAGGCCAGGAGTTTGAGACCATCCTGGGCAACATAACAAGACCCTGTCTCTACAGGAAACAAACAAACAACAACAACAAAATAAAACTAGATGGGCATGGTGGCACACAATGTAGTTCCAGGTACTTGGGAGGCCGAGGTGGGAGGACTGCTTGAGCCCAAGGGGACTAACTTGCAATGAGGTGTGACAGTGCCACTGCACTCTACCCTGAGCATCAGAGCAAGACCCTGTCTCTAAAAGAGTTTTTAAAAAATTTAAGAAAGTAAGAAAAATGTCTCCCCCCCAAAATGTGCATCTTTACTGAGGCAAATTTACAACCCAGTCAGAAACAATCCTACTGTTTCCTTCTGAAAGCTAAACTCCTTTTAGCTCAAGTGAGAGAATACCTTAATACCCAGAATTTTATTCCATGGACGTATTACCTAGAACATTCACATTTACTCCATTCAAACCAACTAAAGAAAACAAAATCAGGAGAAAATTCTCTTCACTTTCTACTATGATGAATAGTCAAAGGTTGCTTCAAATTAAATACATTTAATTATAATTCTAGCCAGATTCTGTGTGACAGTCCCCCATGCAGGCATTTCACCTAATCTGCAGCACAGAATGCTCTGCCGGCAGCACAAGCAGCTAAGTGGACACCACCCCGAGGACCAGGCTGCGGAGGGCACGGCAGCCTTTCCTTTGCATTGTAGATTCTCCTCAGCTGTGTCTCAGTGTCCTAAAAGTTGCAGCTTTCTCTTAGGTGGGGAATGAAATGGAAAGAAAAAAATAAAAGGAAGCCAACATCCATCCTTGAAGAAAAAGTAAATCCATTTCGTGGTGAACCTCAGCTTCCGGACAAATGCAAATCAGTGTTCCCCGGTCTGAACATAGTCTTCTGTGACTTGGGAGAGTGTGCTCAAATACTGCAAGCTCAGGGCAGCCAAGAGCATGACAAAGGACAGGTAGATGGGGGAGTAGTGGCTTCGGGAGATCAACTGACAGGTGGGAAGATTCTGTGCCCTGATGGTGGAGATGATCTGCCTTGTTTTACTAGAAGATGGGTCAGAGTCGGGGATCCTGTGATAAATCTGTTAAAGAGAGAAGAAAGACTGGGAAGTGCTACACACTGTACACGAGGTTTTTTAGAAACATTTTCTTTGGTTACTTGTTAGAATAATTCTCAGCCTCCCAAGTAGCAGGGACTATGGGTATCCAGCACAACACCCCGCTATTTTTAGAGACAAGGTCTCATTCTGGCTCAGGCTGGTCTCAAACTTGAGAGCTCCGGCAATCCACCTACCTTGGCCTCCCAGAGTGCTAGGATTACAGGTGTGAGTCACCACACTCAGTCTCTAGGATTTTTCTACAGACTTGGTCTTCTCTCAGACCTTCTATAGGTGCCTCTGATAGAAATGGTGATGTCCACGTGGTGGCTCACACCTGTAATCCTAGCACTCTGGGAGGCCAAGTGGGTGGACTGCTTAAGCGTAGGAGTTCAAGACCAGATTGAGCAAAAGCGAGACGCCAGCCCTAACAATAGCCAGGTGTTGTGGTGGGCACCTGTAGTCCCAGCTACTTGGGAGGCTGGGGCAAGAGAATCACTTGAGCCCAAGAATTTGAGGTTGCTGTGAGCTATGATGCCATAGTACTCTACAGAGGTCTACAAAGTGAGACTTTGTTCCAGTAAAAAAAGAAAGAAATGGTGATGTTCAAAACTTGTCACATAGAAAATAGGGAAGAAATACAAGGAGAATGTGCAACATGTAAGAAAAATTAGAAGAAATAATTATTTTGAAGAATTCTGTTCAGATGGAAACACTGTTGAAAATCAGTTATGTATATGTATATAAATGTATCCACATGTATGTACATATCTGGAGGGACATACAAAGCCAGGGACAGTGGTCACCTCCAGGAAGAGACCCAGGCTGTGGAGGAACAAGGCCTATATGTTTTCATGGACTCCACAGAATCTCAATCTCAGTAAGACAGCACCATCCCAGGCTGCTAGTCCCCTGATGGCAGTAGCTCCCACCCCTGCCAGTTATAATAATGAAAAATGTTTCCAGACATTGCCCACTGTACCCTCGGGGGAGGGAACCACTGCTCTAGGGCCCACAGGCTGGAGAGAGTTCTAGACTCTAAGTTTTTTAAAGCTAGTCAAATATTACACCCTCCATAGTTGGAGACCAACCATAAGCAGGTATATTTTGTTTTATAGGGAGTCCTGGCATTTGAAATAAAATTTTCAGAAAAAAAAATACAACTTTCAGAAGTAATCACAATGAGATGGTTCTCCTTTGCCCTAAATTCACTACTGTGGTTTCTCAATGACGGCCTGTGGTGCAATGGAAAGTTCTAGACTCAGAGTCAGGACACACAGATTGGAATGTGAGATCCACTCAGTCACGTGCTGCAATGGCACATACCAGCCTCAACATCACAGTCCTCATCCATGAATAAGAAGCTCAGCTGGACTCCAACATCATTCTCCAGTTCAAAAAATATGATTCTCAAAAGTCCATCCTATAGCCTTGCTTACCTCCTCTTACCAGCTCTCAACAATTGGCTCAACTCCTGTGCTCACACTCTCTTCCTAGTAAAGGATACGGATTCCTGCCTCTTTAGGTCATAGCACAGTGAGTTGTTAGGGTCATCTAATATCCAGACACCCTATGTTTAAATAGTTACATTATTTAAATTAAAACAGCTACAAATTATCCAGGTACTTAAATAAAAACCTACCTCTTCCATGTACTGGTATATTATAGCTTTCACAGCAGGCATATTGGTGGCATCCATCATTAGGGTCACTGCTTGTCCTTTTCGAATCTTTACCACCCCTTTGAACACCTGCTGATTATTGTAACAGGCAGCCAAAGTAGCAATGGCCATTACCTACAGATAACAAGAAGAGAGTCTTAAAGTATTCTGTAGTTTATTCACAAAAGTTCCATTTTATCTGGAAAAAACAAACATAAGTAGATCCAACATTTTCCATGCTAGAGCAATGGTTTATTAGATATGAAATACATACACCAGAACCTGGGTAAGGGGACCACCAAAGAATGTAAAAACTGGTCAGCTATGGAGGTGGTCAACATAAGGAACCAGGCCAACTGTACTGATATGGCGGACTTGTGGTGCATGTCTGTTCTACGAAAATCAGGCCAACGTGAGGTGTTCAATGTAGGAAGGCTCTCCTGTATTTCAAAATATTATCTGAAAAGAATTTTTTTTTTTTTTAGAGACAGAGTCTCATTTCATTGCCCTCAGTAGAGTGCTATAGCATCACAGCTCACAGCAACCTTCAGCTCTTGGGCTTAGGCAATTTTCTTGCCTCAGCCTCCCTGAAAATAATTTTTTATTCCAGTTTTTCTATTTTCCGTACAAGAACGTAATTCATTATATTTAAAAATAATGCTGGGGGGGGGCAGTGCCTGTGGCTCAGTGGGTAGAGCGCTGACCCCGTATACTGAGAAAGCAGGTTCAAACCCAGTCTCAGCTAAACTGCAATAATAAATAGCTGGGTGTTGTGGTAAGCGCCTGTGGTCCCAGCTGCTTGGGAGGCAGAGGCAAGAGAATCACCTAAGTCCAGGATTCGGAGGTTGCTGTGAGCTGTGTGATGCCACAGCACTCTACCAAGGGCAAGAGAGTGAGACTCTATCTCTACCAAAAAAAAAAAAAAAGCTGGGAGAGGGACCCTAAGGGAAGTGATTTCCTATGCTCAAAGGTAAATTATTTCCAGGATAAATAGAAACCTAAGATGGTCATACAGATTTTATTTTAATCACCCTTCAAAATTGGTCACTAGAATAAGATCAAGCCAAGTTTCCAAATCAGTTGAATCCAATGGTTTTCTTTACTTATTTAATATCTGAAATAACCGGTAAACGTGATTAAAAAGAGTTAAGCTTCTCTCGTCTAGAGTACTGAGGGGCTGGGCCCATAGGATCAGGTTTTGTTATCTTGAGTCCAGGAAAAGGACAGCAACAACTGGGAGCTGAGACTTCTATGACAGCAGGTTCCACCTAAGTTTTACCCAGCATTCCCCACAACTCTAAGGCAAAGCTCTCAACTTAACTGAAGACAAGGATCTAACCAGTTTAGAATAGCTGTGGAAAGAAGAGTAAATCTAGAAGCAAAGTTCTGGAAAGGATCAGACTTTAGCTTGAAGTTGAGCTGAGCATGGTGGCTGGAAGAAAGGGGGTTCCCTGAAACCCCCAGCACAAGAAGATCAACTGGAGTCATTTCTTTATGAAGTCATATCCTTGAATACAGCAGAGAAAAATCCCCTCTTACCTCCTACCCGCTATTTCTCACACACTCTTATAATAAGAGTCCCGAGTCGTACCTGTGGAATAGCACAGAAGTTAAACACACTCTGGTTTCTGAGTCTGGAGAGGTAAGTGATGACATCTGGGATGTGGTGTAGGGCATTGGTGATAAGTTCATTCAGGCACTGCACTGCCAAGTCAATATTCTCTGGTTTAGCAAAATCCCCCAACTTCTTGACATACCTGCCCCAAACCTAAGTAGATAAGAATATTAAAGAACAAGTCAATAGGTACAGAGAATTTACAAACAATATGAACAGATCTTTGTGGATAAGAACTAAGATTTACAATAAAGTCTCTCATAGCTACTGACTCATTGTTCATCAAGTTCATGTCCATTTTAAGCTCTATCCAGTAGCTATTTATGACTACAGTGAGGGCTCAATCAGAACTACCAGTGAGGGAGCGAGTTAAGTATTCAGGAAGTATCCCTCAGGGGACAATTAGTGCAGCAGGTTATAGGCAATACTTTGAGGACCTCACACTAAAGAGGTCCCCTGTTACAGCATTGGTCTATGCCTGAAAAAACAGCCAGCTGCATACAAAGTCAGCTACAACAGAACTGCAGGTTAAATATTAAACAGCCTCAAAACGGCTGGGGGCTCAAAGTACTCATTGATCAATGTCACATTCCTAAACGTGGTAAGATGCTGAACACATCTGGGGAAATGTGCTAAGTCGACACTCTGAGCACTCTGCCTCCCTGAATCCTCATAAAATGAAAGTAAAATAACACCCTCAGCTCTGACAGTGGGATTTGGTTTGATGACTTTTAACAACATTATTGAGAGGATTTTCACAAGCTTGCAATGATTTACTTGGGTTCTTGAGTAATTATAATTATTATTATTATTATTTTTTGAGACAGTGTCATAATGTCATGAATATCATGGCTCACAGCAATCTCAAATTCCTGGGCTTGAGCAATTGTCAGACTCCTGAGTAGCTGGGACTATACGTACCCACCACACACACAGCTAGTTTTTCTATTTTTAGGAGAGACGGGGGTCTCACTCATGCTCAGGCCGGTCTCCCAACTCCTGAGCTCAAGCAATCCACCTGCCTCAGCTTCAGTGTGCTAGGATTACATGTGTGAGCCACTGCACCTGGCCTATTCTTAGGTAATTCTATGTCACCCTTGGTAGAGTGCCGTGGCGTCACAGCTCACAGCAACCTCCAGCTGTTGGGTTCAAGTGATTCTTGCCTCAGCCTCCCAAGTAGCTAAGACTATAGGCACCCACTACAACATCCAGCTATTTTTTTGTTACAGTTGTCCTTGTTGTTTAGCTGGCCCAGGGCTGGGTTCAAACCCACCAAGTTGTAACCACTGTGCTACGGGAGCCAAACTTTTTTTTTTTTTTTTTTTTTTTTGGTGAGACAGAGTCTTACTATGTCACCCTGGGTAGAGTGCCATGGCGTCATAGCTCACAGCAACCTCAAATTCTTGGGCCCAAGCAATTCTCTTCTCAGCCTCCCAAGCAGCTGGGAGGGACTACAGGCACCCACTACAACGCCCAGCTTCTTAGGTAATTCTTAAGCTTCCTAAAAATAATGCTTATATTTTAGGAACCTTTGTTTTCAGAGAATGTCTAAAATTATTTTCACCCCCAAATCTGAATCCGTTACCTCTTGAGGCCAAAACTCTCTTCCTTCTTGCTGGTCTTCCAAGTAATCTCGGATGATGTTTGTTTTCTGCAGAAACAGGCCCATCGAGTTGGCACGTTCTACATCTTCACCAACTAAAGGGTCTTCAAACTCTGAGGCCGAGAAGAGACGTGAAAGGCCAATCCCCACCAGCCCGGCAACATAGTGACAGTACTGTAAAAGATGATTTTTAAAGTGCTTTACTAATGAAATCTACTAAAATGTGGTTACTAGAGTAACTATGAAAATATCAGGCTCCAAACAGAATGTATAAGACCTCGTGTTGCTTAAAAACAAATATACATGCATGTATGTACAAGGATTTGAAAACATCCAAGAAGGATATACCCAAACTTGGACTACAGGCACCTGCCACAGTGCCTGGCTATTTTTTAGAGATGGAGTCTCACTTTTGCTCAGGTTGGTCTCAAACTTCTGAGCTCAGTCAATCCACCGGTCCTGGCCTCCCAAGTGCTGGGATTATAGGCATGAGCCCCCACGCCCAGCCAACACAAATGTTGTAACAGTAATGTCTGCCTGATGGGGATGCTATGTCATTGTTTTTTAAACTTGTGTTTTTCAAATGTTTACAATGTACCTGTATTGCTTCTATAAGAAAGGCTATTAAAAAAATAAACTAGCACAGTAAACATTTTTCTTTTTTAAGAGATGGGGTCCCATACTTTGCCCAGGTTGGCTGGTCTCAAACTCCTGGCCTCAAGTGACCCACCCACTCAGACTCTCAAAGTGCTGGGATTGCAGGTGTGAACCACTGAGCCTGGCCTCTTACCTAGTTTATGTTTAGTTTAGTACCCCAAGTGAATTAAGTCCTTTTGTTCACATAAGTGATTCTGGAATAAACTCCAGCCAAAAAAAAAGCCATTATAACATGATTTGGTACATCATCTGCTCTCAGAGCCCTTTCTAGCTACTTCTGTCTTCTGAGGAAGATGCGCCTTACTCACGTGGCATCTCCTAGAGCTCATCCCCACACGTGTTCATCTGTAACTGCTGTGGTTTGAATGGGTCCCTCAAAATGCATGTGCTGGAGAGTTAATCCCCAGTGCAACAGTGCTAAGAACTGGGACTTCTGAGAAACGATCAGGTCCCCAGGGCTGCACGGGTATGAAGGGGTTAAGGTCAACTGCAAGTCTGATCTCTTGTTCTCACATTCTTTCTTTTTCCTTCTACCACAGAAAGAATGACACAGCTAAAAAGCCCTCACCTGATGCCAGCACCTTGATACTGAACTCCCCCAAACTCTAAAATTTTAAGAAACCAGTTTCTTTTCTTTATAAATTACACCGTCTCTAGAATTCTGTTATAGAACCAAAAGAGAGTAAGATAATAACAATCACACAAATTGGGGGAAGGGCATGAAGGACCTCGGAAGCATCTCCAAGTGTCTGATTTGGGTCAGGAGATAATGAGAAGGAAACAAAGTATTAGCGGGGTGCTCACCCTTCTGCATAACATACCCACAATCCTTTGGTACTCATAAATTGGTGTTTCTAAGGACACAGATAAATCACATAATTTAACAGCTTTACTGATACCTCCTGATGCTGATAAATCATATAATTTAACAGCTTTACTAACACCTATATCTCAGAAACAAATGGGACCGAGCTGGCCTTGAATTTAAAAGTAATCTGTGTTAAGATGAGATTGGAAACCACTCAGATACTAAGGGTCTACACATATATACTTCTACTCAGTAACAGGAAAGGAGGCAATTTAAAAAAATAGTTTAATTTCAAAACTGGAAATTATTACATAAATATGGCCATTTACCTAACATGTCATGGCCAGAGACAGTTTTACAAATTTAATGCCTTGTCCCTTTAAGACAATTCCCATCTACTTTGGCCTTGTTTAATGGTAAGCTCTCTAGGGCATGGGCAACTTCATTCATAGCGTATTAAACAATTAGGTCCCTATAAAGTGTGTAGGATGGGACATTACAACCTAAATAAATGTAAAACCAGAAAACCTGGAACTGGTGGTCAACTTTTCCCTGTTCTGAACTTCATGAGGGATTGTGGACTCTGTCCTACACATCACACATGGACAAGGCTTCACAGAGACACTGACCTTGTCCCACTCCTGCTCAGAGGTCACGTGCTTATCCAGAAACTCTGCCATCCCAATTCCCATTCTCCGGCAAATGTCAGCAATCACTGTTTGGTATTTCTCAGCCAGGTTTCTAAATTCGAGGGAGATCTGAAATGGAGACCGTAAAAATCAGAGAACTATACATGGCACCAAAGACCACAAAGCAAAGCAGTAGCGGCACTCACTACTTATGACCCCAAATGTCTCATCTACAAGCCTAATCTAGGCCAGGTCAGCTTTCTATATACTGCATAATTAACAGGCTCAGCCAATTTTACGAACATTAAGACAGAAGGGTCTAAAACTGCTAATGTTGGTTCAGTGCCCGTAGCACAGTGGTTACGGTGCCAGCCACATACACCAAGACTGGTAGGTTCAAATCCAGCCCAGGCCAGCTAAAAAACGACGACCAACTGCAACAAAAAATGGCCAAGTGTTGTGGCAGGCATCTGTAGTCCCAGCCACTTGGGAGGCTGAGGCAAGAGAGTCGCTCAAGCCCAAGAATTTGAGGTTGCTGAGAGCTGTGATGCCATGCCAGGGTGACAATAGTGAGACTCAGACTGAAATAAATAAATAAGTAAAACAAAATTGCTAATGTTTACAGACTCAAAAGATTCAGTCTCATTATTCATTCGTTTTTCCAATATTATTTTAAATGAAATGCTTCAACAGAAAGCTGGGCACAAGGGTAAAAAATTTGGGGAGAATGGCTTATTTCAGACAAGCCTCATTAAGGTAAATACTTATCTGTCAAAAGTGCTACTTCCTGGGTAGCAAGCACTGTGCCAGGCACCAGAGCTCAGACATCAGGAAGCAAAAACTCAGGCCCTTACAGGACTTCCATTCTAGCGATGAGATCAGCCTCATCAGTTCCCCAATTTATATACTGAAGCAACAGTGCTCCCCTCACTACAAGGATATACTTTTAATTTCTTAAACAACTCGATCCAATCTGAGGCATGCTGCCTAATATTTCTTCATAGCCCAAGCCCTAATAAAGAAAAGCAATATTGAGATTTTTAAAATGTATTGTTATTGTACAAATATCTTGTTTTAGTTCAAAGGAGGCAAGAAATTTTATTAAAATACAATACAAAGTGCACATTTCATTGACCTGCTTTCTTTATACGTGAGCAGTGTTATTTCTTATGTGCTATACAGACAGTTGAAGGTTAATTAGCAGTATAACTATAAATAGTAATGCTGCCAGTCTCCTTCAGACAAGAAACTTTATAGAAAGTGGTTAAATGTATTGGGTAAATAATAGATCTTTATCTACAAAAGATGTGACCATTTAGGTTTTTTGTTTTGGGAAACTAGGATTTTAAAAGGTATGTTTGAGGGGTAGTATAATCCATGTATAATGGTTCAGAGAAGACTTTGCAGTTGATAGCCTGGAATTCTAATTCCAGCTTCAGCAATGCTCTGATACTCTTGAGCTTCAGTTTTTTTCTTGGAGTAAAATGGGCATGAATTCTGCTTGCCATGACTGTCATGACATTGCATATAAAAAGTGCTAAGTAAATAGTGGCTGTTATTAACTCTGTGTTTTCTATGCAGAAAAAACAAAATACAATACAGAAACATCACGAGGCCAGGTAAGGTGGCTCACGTTGGTAATCCTAGTACTCTGGGAGGCTGAGGTGGAGGATCACATGAACCCAGGACTCTGGGGTTGCTGTGAGGTATGAAGATACCACAGCACTGTCACCTGGGCAACAGAGTGAGACTCTATCTCAAAACAAACCAAAATAAAACAAACAACAACAACAAAAAAGTCCAAAGAAAACATCTTAAAATGTTAAAATAAAAGAGCCAAAGCTGAAAACAGCGAATAGATTTTGTTAAAGACCAAAAGTGTAAGACAGACATGGCTTCTGTTTACAGAAAGCTTACAAAATCTTCCTCAGGAAACAAAAAATTAAGGGCCCGAGGGAAGACCAGCTGGTTGCAGAGCACCATGGGAATTCAGGAGCCTAAGAGAATTATGATTTCTCCAATGTACATCAACTCTTAAACCCAAAACACCCATGCTATCAATTTGGTCTTTCCTTTCCAAAAAGCTATTCTTTCCAGAACTGCTGCTCAACCCAAAGCCAATGGGTGATTCCTACTGCAGATTAAAACAAACTAGCAACTCTACCGAGGTTATTTGCATCCCTGAATTCCCCAGAACTGTTCCTTCACAGATCCTTGGCTACACCAGTTCTATTTATAAGGTGAAAGAGGGTGGAGAAGAGGAGGAGCTTTAAGTGAAAAACAAACCCTCCAAAATAAACACTTTCACTTCTCAATCTGACCTATCCCCTTCAACTACTTTGTGGTACTTATGAAATTATGTAATTCAAAAAGTGGAAACAAAAATATCCAGAAAAAGATGATAATGAAGAGCTCTATGTTTTCTCCAGAAACCGGAGTTGGGGGGAGGGGGAGAAAGGCTTTGCCAACTCCACACCGGTGCCCAGTTTCCTATGTCCTCAGGGCACAACAACAAGCTCTGCTGCGTGGAGGGCAGGAGCCAGGAGGGCTAGCTATACCCTCCTCTAAGGAATTCTATTCCACAACCACAGTGGATTTCTAGGTTCTTCATGTACATGGAGGAAGGCTCCCATAGTGAGTCCATGGGGAAAGGCCAAATCCCAAGTAGTGGGCAAAGGGTGGTGAGACTTCCCATTATCTTATAAATATAAATTTCCCTAATCATAAATCTTACAATTAAACCATTGCAAGAGTCTACATTCACCAGTATTTAAATATTTTCTGTTTATTTGCTTTGTTATTCTTTTTTTTTTTTTGAGACAGAGTTTCACTATGTTGCCCTCTGTAGAGTGCCATGGCATCATAGCTCAAGCAACTTCAAACTTCTGGACATACTTGATTCTCTTGCCTCAGCTTCCCAAGTAGCTAGGACTACAGGTGCCCACCACAATGCCTGGCTATTTTTTGGTTACAGCTGTCGTTGCTGGGCTGGCAGGCCTGGGCTGGATTCAAACCTGCCAGCTCTGGTGTATGTGGCTGGCACCTGAGAGCTTGAGCTATAGGCAATGAACCTGCTTTGTTATTCTTAAGCATTTTTTAAAGACACAGGAAAGTATGTCAGTGATTAAGCATGGGATTCTGGGGCCAGACCTTCTGGACCTGAATCCTGATTCTGCCACTAAACTTTATAGATGATTGTAGGCAAGGTACTTAATTTTGTTGTGCCTCAGTTTCCTCATCTATATAAAATGCAGGTAGTAACACTACACCACACACTATAGTGATGAAATAATACAGTAAACTAATGAATATATTTAGTAACTGATTCACAGTAAATTGCTCAATAACTGTATTCTATTATTGCTATCATCATTTAAAAATAACACAGGATTATTAGAGGTAGAGCTCTAAGACTTCTGGCATTCCACTAGCACGTGAGAAGATGTATAGTCAAGTGCCACATACCGATATTTCAGTCGAGGACAGACTGCAGAGATGATGGTGGTCCCCTAAGGTTCTAATACTGTATTCGTAGTGCTCCTTTTCCATGTTTAGATGCACAAATACCTAGCAGTGGGCTACAGTCACCGCAGCATTTAGTACAGTAACATGCTGCATAAGTACCACAGGGCCTAGGTGTACAGTACGCTATTCCATCTGGATTTGGGTAAAGACATCCTATTGTTTGTACAATGAGGGAGTCTTCTAATAACACATTTCTCAGAATGTATCCCAATCACTAAACAACAAGACTGTACTCTAACCAGAACCATAACCTACAGGGAGAGTTCTGGAAAGCCAGACATGAAATGGTATCAACTAATGGTCACTAAACTATAAAGCACTAGGTTCAATGCACAGACTCACCATACACTGCACTGGAGCTCACTCAGGACTAGAGCTCACTCGGTTAGGACACCCCATCTCGGCTTATTCCTTAACTCTGTGGGGCCTGGGACAAAAGTACAAATGGAAGCCCACATACCATATGTGGCTAAAAAATTTAAAACTTATCAAGTGAGCAAATAACTTATTAATTAAAACAGGTTCTAGCTTCCTACCTTGACTAACAGATCTTCATAATAACGCAAATGATTCAAATTTTTATTTAAAATTCTTGGTCCCTCAGAGTTTTGTTCCAAAATGCAGCAGGGCATAGACTACTGACCTCAGCTCCCAGCCTGCCCTGCTCTTCTGGCTCGCTGCTCTGTCCAGTGCCAGGAGGGATCTCAAATTCATGCATAAGGACAGCTGGCCCACTGGGCCAGACTTCTTCCACAACCATCCAAAATACAGCCTTGGGCACCCAGGGCACTGTCACTGGTGACAAGTTCCATGTAGGAGGAGATGGACCTAAGGGAATAGGCTGTGCTAACCCTGGACATGGGCTAGAAACCCCTGATGTCCAGAACATAATTTAGAGAAGGTGGTGCAGAAGATCTAGGCAAGCACACGCCCATGGCCCCAAGGACCCCTCAATCCTCTGCAGGGGAGGAGGCCCAGAGTGGGACCCTCTAAAATGAAGGGCCCCTCTTACCTCAGTCTAAAAGCAGTACTGTATAGGTGAAGCAGGCACCACCTACATCATTATCCTTACTTTACAGAGAAGAAACTAACCATCAGTTACTAAGTGGGAGGGATAGAACTCCAACCCAGGCGGTCTGGCTTCAATCTTGGCTAGGAGAGTTCATAACCATCAGGCTGCTTATCTTACCTTACGGTACGAGGGCTGGCTGACACCTACATTACCCATCACAAAGACAAGGGATGCAGAAGAAATCGGTAACTGCACTAACCGTTGGGAAATCCTCCAGCACTTGTCTATCCTTCTCCTTGCTGTCCATGAACCGCCAGTCTGGTTCATAAAGGAAAGAGTGAAAGTTGTGTAACAGTGGGACCTTTTTTTCCACGCTGATGGTCATGTCATCTTCCAGAGTGTCCAGAGCTCGGAGAACCAGATAAAATATGCATACTGCATTCCTTTACAAAAGGAAAAATATATTGGAACAATATCCAAAGATAGTTGTTTTAAAATAACATCTAATTTGTGTAAGGCCTCAAACTGCCTATACCCTTAACTCTACAGAACTATAAGGATATACAAATCTTTTCATACTTAAGGATACTTATGCTAGTAAGTTACATTTAACTAATGTAAAACAACTACATCAAGACCAAAAGACTAAATGTTTAGACTGAATTAGTATATTTCAAATAGAAAAGAAAGCCAAAAGACACAATAACTTCTTAGTATGAATACTACCATCCATAAAGGCAACTGGGGAAAGGTCAGGTAAAGACATCGGACGTAAGGAAGGTGGGGTGGAGGGTGAGGAATAAAAACTTACCTACTGGTACAACAAACTATTCTGGCCATGGGCCCACTCAAAGCCCTTGCTTAAGCACCATAAATGTATCCACATAACAAAAACATTTGTACTCCTTTAATATTTTGAAAGGAAAAATAAAGGCAATTGTATGTAATTCATGAGCCAGCTTCAAAAGAATTAACCCAATAGGTTAGAAATGAAAGGTAGTAGGCGTAATGGAAGCTGAGAAAAACGCACGACCTGCTCAGAGACAGGGTCAGTTGCCAAAGCTAAAAAAAGTAAATAAACACCCCTCCCCTTGGTTCTCTGAAAGAGCTGGGCCTGCAGAGACACTAGTAGATGGCAAAGTGCCTGGAAGGGCATTCTAAAGTAAACACATGGACTTTGCAATCTGGAATATCCTTTTCGCTCAAAAAAGTAGCTTGCAGTGAGTCAAAGGCCCCTAGAAACGTTTTCTTCCTCCAAGCCAGAAGCATTGCTTCCCACTCACCGCATTTCCCCATCCAGGGCCTCGATAACAGCTGCGAAACTGCGACTGGTCTGATTCAGATACTTGTAGCAAGTTTTCAAGCTGCTGCTGAGCGAGTCCTGAGGGCAGAGAAGACACACAGAGGTGGGAGATGTCGAGGAGCAGGAGTGGGAGTGGGGCAGACGGCTCCAGAGCCTGTTGCAACAGCCCTCCCCGCGAGGCCAGTCCTTGCAGGGCCAGGTGGTGTGAGGCAAGCTGCAGCCCCGCGGCGGGGTGCCTGCGCCCGGGCCCCTGGGCGCCGCGGTGGGGCTCAGCACCAAGGTGCGCTTGAAAAGGGACATGGCCTTGGTGCCGCAGGCGGCTGCGGCCATGGAAATCGGCGACCCAGTGGAGTTTTTCCTCCATAGACCCAAACGGAGCTGGGAGGTGCCCACAGAGGGGCAGGACCGGCTCGTCACTTATTCCAACACGCGCGGGGCGGGCAGAGACCCGAGCGCCAGCCCCGCCCCGCCAGAGGGTCCCACAAGCTACACGCGTGGAGGCCGCCGCCCGCCCGCAGCGAGCCCCGCCCCGAGCCTGGCCGCCCCTCCTAGCCCCACCCCATGCCGGCCCCGCCCCTCCCTTCTAGCCCCGCCCCGAGGCTCTGGCTCTGAGCCCTTGGTGGTCTGCTGCTAGCACTCTGGCCTTTCCCACCTGAACGCACAGGTTGCTGCTTATGAAACCCTGTCCACCTTTGAGAAGCCTGCTCTTTGTCCCTGTGACAGAGTCTCTCCTAGACCAAACCTCAGTCAGGCTCCGCAAAATTCTCTTCCCAACCAGATCTAGACTTTGGTACTGTAAGTGTCTGTCTTTGCATCACCCAATTTTCGCAAGAGTCACCCCATCTCAGTCTGATCACCTGATCCAGGCCTTACTACCCCAGCCCCCAAGAGACTTCATGACCCAGGCCTGCACTGAGCTGGAATCCCCCCTTCCCAGCTGTTTCCTCCTAATATTATAATTTCCCATCCACAAACCCCGTCTTTCCCTCCATAAATTCCTACTTTTCCTGGTGTTTGGAGTTGAGCCCAGTTCTCTACTGTGCTCTTTCCCCCACTGCAATAGTTTTTCTGAACAAAATCTGTTGTTACCACTTTGACTGCTACAGTCCACCTCCGGTTTTTCTGTAAACACCGGTTAAGCCTCTGCTGACCTCTAGAGAGCCAGCAACTCCAGTGAAGATTTCTTCTGCCTTTCCCTCTGAAATTGGTGAACTGTTTCCTGAACTTTACTCGTCCCTCAGGAAAACAAGGACTGAGTTTTACCAGGGGAAGAAAAAAGCCTTATTTTCCATGCATATCAGAAAGAATTGTTGGAGTGTATTTTATATAGAATTTTTTTTTTTTAAAGAGACAGTCTCACTTTATAGCCCTGGGTAGAGTGCTGTGGCGTCACAGCTTACAGCAACCTCCAACTCCTGGCCTTAAGCGATTCTCTTGCCTCAGCCTCCCGAGTAGCCGGGACTACAGGTGCCGACCACAACGCCTGGCTATTTTTTTTTTGCAGTTTGGCCGGGGCCAGGTTCGAACCCACCACCCTCGGTATATGGGGCCAGCACCCTACCCTCTGAGCCACAGAAGCCGCCCTTTATATAGACTTTTTTATAGAATAGTTTTATGTTCACAGGGAAATTGAGCACAAAGTACACAGAGTTCACATGTGCCTCCCGCCCAGTCTCCTCACATCTTTTTTAGGATAGAAACAGGACACATTTGAAATGTCTACCAGAAGAGTGGTTAAAAATATACAGTGTACAGCATATCCACTGGTAGGAAATTCCACAGTCACATCAGAATGTTAACAGTGGGCCGGTGTGGTGGCTGAGGCCTGTAGTCCTAGCACTCTGGGAGGCCAAGGGGCTGGATTTGAGCTCACGGTTTGATACCAGCCTGGGCAACTGGCTGTTCTCAGAACAACTGAAATAGAAAAACCAAGGCAAGAGGATCAGTTAAGCCCAAGAGTTGGAGGTTGCTGTGAGCTATGACACCACCACACTCTACCCAGGGGGCATTCTACCCAGGGCAACAGCTGAGACTGTCTCAAAAAAAAAAAAAAAAATGTTAACAGTGAAGCCTGGACTGGACCCTGGCGGGGGGGTTCAGGAGAACTATGTTCTTTCTATTTGTATTTCCTGTATTCCTACCATATTCTTTTGCCAAAAGAATAACGCTTTTTCTTAAATCACATCCTCAGAATTTCATTTTATTGCCATTTCCAATTGAAAATAATTAGTTAAAGCTAATATATACTGGGCACCATATATTAGTAAAGTGCAGTGTCTGGCATATAAAAATATTCAGTAAAGTGGCTGGGTACGGTGGTCACACCTGTAATCCCAGCACTTTGGGAGGCCAAGATGGGAAGATCACTTGAGGCCAGGAGTTCAAAACCAGCCTAAGACCCCATCTCTACCAAAAAAATAAAAATTAGCCAAGGATGGTGGTGTGAACCTGTAGTCCCGAGCTACTCAGGAGGCTGAGGTGGGAGGATCAGTTGAGCCTAGGAGTTGGATGTTGCAGTGACCTATGATCCATGCCACTGCATTCCAGCCTACGCAACTAAGCAAGGCATGGCCAAAAAAGGAAAAAGTGAAAATAGAGAAGGAAAAGAGAGAGGAAAAGAAATAGAAAAAGGAAGGGAAGGGAAAAGTATACAACTTGCAGGTGGCAGTGTGGCCCGAGATTTACTAATATATGCCTATAATTCAGTATAAATCAAGTCTACTAAACTCTGAATTTCTATAGCTAAACCCTTCCATGATAAAAATAATCAGCCCTCCATATCTGTTAAAGTGAGAATTTCTTTCAAGTCTTTTTGTTACTTAAAGAAACCAAGATAATGTTAAGGGAAGGGAAACGCATTTTCCAATTTGTCCCCTCTAATTAGAGATACGCTCAATTACTTTTTAAAAATGGCTCATGGAAGTTTAAAAAGTGCTCAGAAAAAGTGCAACTGATAAAGCAAATAATATTGTATGTGTCATTCATTGAATCCTAGAGCTGTAAGAAGGAATAGCCCAAGTCTCACTTTTAAAAGAATTCAAAAGGTGTGGAAAGGGTACACTGTGAAGTCTTTCTCCAACAGCCGCATTTTACAGAGAGGAAAGAGACACCCAGAAACTAGAGTCTCTAGACTCAAATCACAACCCTGTCAACCAACCCCCCTGATGTCAGATACTCAGATCCTTTGCCCTTTTTATCTTTGTAGTACAGGTCTCAACCTAAAATATCGTGTATCCGCTTTCTAAATTATCTCTCTCTTCCACTAGATATGAATTTCATAAAAGCAAGGTCATTTTGTTCACTGCTGCATCTCTAGCACCTATCTGGCATACAATTAGTGGTCAAATATTTGGTAAATAAATGAATGTCTCATCTAAATATAAAAAGTGGTATCTGTCCCACTAAATAAAAAAAAGTTATTCTTCAGTACGGTAAAATAATGAAAGATAGATAAAATTGAATATCCCAGAAAGAGGCCAAAGTATATACCTGTATTAAAAATCTAAGTGAGGGCGGTGCCTGTGGCTCCGTGAGTAGGGCGCTGGCCCTATATATCGAGGGTGGCGGGTTTGACCAAACTGCAATAAAAAAATAGTTGGGTGTTATGGAGGGCACCTGAAGTCCCAGCTACTCAGGAGGCTGAGGCAACAGAATCGCCTAAGTCCAAGAGCTGGAGGTTGCTGTGAGCTGTGACGCCACGGCACTCTACCTAGCGCGACAAAGTGAGAATCTGTCTCTTAAAAAAAAAAAATCTAAGTGAAAGAACACCAAATGCAATGTACACGCGGCACATGCCCAATCTATGAAAATTAACTTAAGGTGGTGGTCAATGTTGGTAGATGGTCAACTACAGGTTTTCTACCGTTTTATTATTTTTAATTTGGTTACTCTAACTCTCAAAAGAATCTCCTCCCACTCCTCTGCCACATTACTGTTCCAAAAATATTGCTTTCATGTCATAGCTCTGCTTTTGCCTATTACCTACCTGACTGAACACAACCTAGCTTTTTTTTTTTTTTTTAATTTTAATTTTGAATCAGAGTCTGACTTTGTCGCCCTTGGTAGTGTGCTGTGACATCATAGCTCACAGCAACCTCTAACTCTTGAGCTCAAGCAATCCACCCACCTCAGCCTCCCAGAGTGCTAAGATTACAAGTGTGAGCCACCCAGCTTGGCTTCCACAGCCCAGCTTTCCAAAGCTAACACATAATAACTCAGCTTTCTACCTTTTTTTTTTTTCTTTTGAGACAGTGTCTCACTCTGTGACTCTGGGGTTAAGGCCATGGCATCGTAACTCAAACTCTAGGGCTCAAGCCATCCTCTTGCCTCAGACTCCCAGTAGCTGGGACTACAAGCGACTGCCCCAATGGCGAGGCAGTCTGAGCTTTCTACTTCTAATTTACCTTCTTCACTTTCAGCCAGGCTGGCCTCCTTATCACTCCACACCCAACTCCTGCTCACTGCTATCTATAGGATGTGGCTCATTTTAGCTTTTTGCATGGAGTATCCTCCCCACTAATCTAAACCCAATGTCTCTTCAAGGCCGTTTACCATTGCCCTACAAAACACTAGTCTTGTGTTTTTTGAAAACTTTTCCCTCTAGGACATTTCCACTTCACTAAAACTTCCTGCGATCAAATTGCTTAAGATTCCCTGACAGTTCCTAGTTACCTTCCTTTGTACACCGCTCTCCTTTACTGTGAACACACACGCTTGGGGCAGGCATTTTCCACTGTGTCTCTCCCACTCAAGTGTTCTGCTTTTAGCCACATCTAGACAAGCTTCTGCTTAATATCTTGAGGTCCATCATCTTAATTATAACCAGCATAGTGAGACCGCAAGGGTCAAAGCCTGGTTCTGCCACTTCAGTGCTGCTGAGCCTTAGGTAATTAACCTCTTGTGCCTGTTTCCTCATCTATAAAACAGGAAGATTAATAGTAGCTTTCTCATAGGATTACTGGAGGTTTAAATAATAAGACATGTAAGTGTTTAAAATAGTGCCCCACCTATAGTAAGAGCTAAATAAACGTTAGCCATTATTATTATTAGGTTCAAAAAGTCTTTCAGCAGGCACCATAATGGAAGAGCAGGTCCCAAATAGGTGTAGTTAGTCCACACCCTAAATTCACAGTGTGACCTAGTCCATGGTGAGACTACCTAAAAAAGTCAATGAATACGATGCTGGCAGGTGGAGTTGAGAAAAAAAGGGCTTTAGTTGTATCTGAACATCTTATTGCTTAAGAAAAAAATGATTAAGCAGATGTAAAAAAGAAATTATACTTAATCTTGGAGATGGACACGAAGTGGTTATTTGTATCATTTTTCTATTTGTTTTAAATATTTTGTAATTAAAAATATACTTTTTAAGGTAAAGCAATCTCTTTTTAATTTTTTTTAGAGACAGAGTCTTACT